TATACACGTGGGGGATGGTAGCCAGTCTAATGGGGGTTGGGGTACCAAAAGGGAGAGGGGACCCTTAGCCATCTGATTTGTCACAGAGGATGCTGGGTAGGGGGTGTATGGTGCTGAGATGGAAAAGAGAAGGGGGGGGGGGGGTTCACAGAGGGTTCTGATTGGTTAAACTGGTTAAGGGCAGTGACATTGACTGGCCCTCTGGGTGACCCCAGAGCAGAGGCAGAGCAGAAGGAGGGGAGAAGGCAGCTTTGTCACACCAAGGAGAGAGATGGAGTGATAAACAGCCGGATGTAAAACTTTAACAATGTGAGCATCTAGATTATTATAATTAGAGAAGACATGACCCACAGTTCTAATAAGAAGGAATTCAGTACCAATTTTCAGTATTTGACCATTTTTAAGACAAAATGGATGTTGGGTGATGTCAGAGAAATGTGTTACCCAGGCCTGGGATATATTAACCTGATTATCAGCCACTCAGCAACTTGATAACTAAATCAAATGTTTTCAAAATGACAGGAAAGACGGGTACAAAGCTGGTTATTTGTCATTTCTGGATTTTCTCTGGCTTTTGAGAAGTGAATTCGGCCTGAATCATTTAAGATAGCTTTAGCAGAGCTCTAAATTTGCAGTTGCACTAAATGTACCTGGAACTTTTGAGTTTAAGTTCCCAGTAACTGATGGGTTCAATTCAAATTACAGTTTTGGCTTGACATTGTTTCAAAAACCTGAGGTATCTGTGTCATTAATTTATTTTTCAACCTTTACTGGGTGTTTCACCCCTTAACCACAACACTCTCCAGTTGGTGGACCGGCAGTGGAGTCAAAATCACTGTCCATTTGCTCTTGGCTTGAGGCTTCCATCCTGGTGTGGTGCCTTGTCCATATTCAGCAGGAGGCTCGTTTTGTCCCCCATCCAATGAGCTGCTAGTTCCTCACTCCTTTTGTCAAGACAAAGTGGACAACAACCACCATGTCGATATGGATGGTTCTTCCAGTTCTTGCTTTCTGTTCTTCCCTTTTCTTCTCTATCTTCTCTCCCTCTCTGCACCCCCCTCCACTGCATCTCAGAGACAAATATTGCATCTTTTTATCCAACTACATTTGATTAAAATTTTGTTTTTATAGCCCATATTCCCGAATCACAATTTGTCTCATACATCCCAAGAAGGTGCAACATCCTCTGCCCTTAACCATAAGAAAGAGTGAGGAAAATCAACCAAAACAACAATTTTTAACAGACAATTAGAAAACAAGAGAGCCACATGTGAGGGATCCCTCTCCCAGCAATGCTTAACAGTATTTATTCAAAAGAAAATGTTTGAAAGAGATGAAGGGAGCAGTAGTGACAATTGTAATAGAATATTGCCAATAATAATAGAACACATGCAGTAGGTTATTGTATATCTGAGCAATGTAGTTTTAATCATAATCCATAATCAGCTGCTACCATGATAATGATCGTGATCCACGATCCACCATCACGGTCATAGAAGTGATTCTATGGATGTTGCTGCTATGAAATCAGCATTGGGGACACCTGTGAATGTCTCAGTCCGATATGGTGAAATAAAAAATGGTCAATGATCTGGCAGCACAGATATTAATGCTGACTGCCCAGTTTTTTGGGCCATTAACAAAACACACGCGAAGCAGATAAGATGCATGGTTCTCGAGACATGAGACACAGACAAGCAGATTTCTTGAATTAGTGAAAAGAATGATAGATTGTGTATTTTTTTTTAGAAACAATGGAACTTTTCTCTCTGAGATACTCATGTTTTTGTTCTCACATTTGATCTGTCATAGAAAAAAATATCCATCGTTGACATTTCTCTGTGTTATACTACAGCACCATCTGTAGGTTAAAAGGTAGAAAAGCAATCGCTGCCCTGCATCTGATGCATGCCGACATGACCTTGAATCTCATTTCGAACTCAGACCCTGAAGTTGTTGCACTATGAGGTAATGAAGTGATTTAAAACACTCAGAAACACAGAAAATCAATTTGCAATATCACTTGACGCAAATAAACAAATAGATGGACATAATGTGGTTGTTTACGCGACAAGATATACTGGATCTAAAACACCTACCAAAAGAATTGCTGTTTGTATTTTGTGTGGAGAAATTTTTAATTTGTTTCTATAGAAACTTATCAGACCATGAACAGAAGACGGCTTCTTGACCTGCATATTTGCTGTCTATACACCTAGTGGCAAATTCATCATTAGACAATTGTTAATGGTGTTGATGTGAGTGGGGTTGAGGGATACTGATGCATATTTTAATATTAGTGTCCTCCTTGGAATAGCTGTTGCCCCACAGCAAAAAGGTTGCCGGTTTTAATCCCAATCGCCTTGGGTCTTCATTTACTTACCTAGTGAGCTACAGCAGACAAGAGACACCTGTCTGTGATAGCTGAAACAAAGATGGAAGATGTTTTATCTCGGAGTAAACGAGTCCCTGGGAGCAAAGTTGTGACTTTTGGTAATCAGAGACAGATGGACGGGATTAAAACATCTTCTGGACAGCTCGGTAAAAAACAATGCGATCCATCTTGGAATTCTGTGGAGGCCTATCTGTGTGCCTGTTTGTTTGCATGAGGCTGAGAAGAGGCAAAGAGGTTATTTTAGCATTGTGCAGGCATGACTCAGTTGACCTGTCAAACGATATCACGGCTGGGTGAAAATCCCGAAGGGTTAGTGAACAAAGACTGCAAGGGTTCACTGCTGTGTTTATGTGTATTACTGTGTTATGGAGGGACTAGATAGACCTGAGTGTGTGTGTGTGTGTGTGACAGACCACAAACCTATATTGCTAAAGCAGGAAAGAAAAGTATTATTGTGGTCAGTTTGAGTCGTCTGGACATGTTGTGGCAGTCGCCTAAATATCATTGGCCCCAATGAGCCAGAGAAGCCAAAGACAAATTTCCACTGAGGTGGACAATAAAGTGAATCTAATCAAATCTAATGTTGGACTGTCAGAAATCATTTGTATTCTTTAAACCACTCCCTCCATCCTCAGTTAGCCAATGACAACTTTATGTCGAAGCCAAGCTTCCTCCGAAGGCAAGGCCTCTGTGTGTGTGTGTGTGTGTGTGTGTGTATACTTGGCAGTGGCGGCTGCCTTTCTGAATGGAAAAATTAGAACAGACTAAGCTGTCAATCACGATCACCTTCCTGCCTGAAGTGGCTCTGACATTGACACAAAGGACCTGTGTTTAAAACACACACACACACACGTCCCTTTATGCAGTGATATATCTTTTATTGATTTTGCAGTGATGCTGCATTAAATATTAACATTCATTCTGATGAAAAGTCTGATGGATCGTTTACAATGACGAGACAATACTCCTAAACATTCAGTTTAACACCATCACGTTAGCGCTGAAGTTGAAAGACAATATGTGATTTCATTCATGCAATATGTGGACACCGGTGATGATCCAAGGCCTATAGTGTAGCAGAGGGACACTTTTAACATGAAGGTTTGCGCAACATACCACAGTAAGAGCTGTAACCATGCAACAGCAGCACCACTTAGTGGGACTTGCAATGAACAGCAGCATGCTTTCAACACAATAAAAGCGACAGTAAAAACAGAACAATAACTAGAATGGAACTCCTACTTCCACCAAAGTCTAACAGGTCAATTAAATTCAATCAAGCTGCACCAGATTTAAAACACTTACAGTCCTCTAAATATGTCCTAACTTTTTTTTTTTAACACTCTTTTTATTTTAAAACTTGCAATGTTAGAGAAAGAAAAAACAATTCCAAGTTTACTGAAAATCCATTCAAAACCTTTTTGTGCAATCTTGCTTACAAATAAACACACAAACATACAACCCAATCAACAAAGTAACTGACAGGGGTAAAAACAGGTAATGACTGTCTGTCATTGTGCAACCCTGTTTTATGAGTCCTGGCTCAAAGGGCTCTAGGTCAAGGTCATAGTTGTAGCAGTTCTTCATTGTTGATATGTACAGATAAGAAGACAAGCTAGATGTGGAACAGTCTCTGGCTTTTTGAAATCATTTTAAATATAATATAGTGTTTGCAATGCAAGCTGAAACGAGGGGAAACGCTTCTTAAGGGAATAGCAGGTTTACGTTGATATATTGCAAGAGCATAGTAAATCACACCGTGCAATCGCATTCCTGTTCTCTAAGTTTGTGAACAGGGGATGAATGGAAAAGCTCAAAATGACGGAAGGTATGCAATCACCTATATCTTTTAAGCTAGGGTTGGTAATCCTGGAGCAAGCTACACTTTGAAAATACAGTATGCAACCTAGACATCCCACCTCCTCCCATTTTAAGTTGTAGTGCTAATGTCGATAAACTCTCTGTCAAACTATTTGCTGCAGGCAGGTTCTTCTCACCTGGTCTCTGATAAACAAGCACAACTTCTCCCCACATCGGTATCTGATATGGAATAAGAGCGTTCTGTTCAAAAACAAATCACAGCTCTTAGAGAGTTGGGTTCAGAATGAGATTCCGCCTGTGACTCAATTGTTTAATGAGGGCTCCTGCTTACATACAGAATTTGTATCCACATATATGATTTCCCTGTAACCCCGAGGAATTCACAGTAGTTTTTTGATGCCATTCCTTCAGGCACTTTAATTCTTTTATAGAAGATAGTTAGAACTACTCCTGGATCCTGAAAATTTGCTTTGCACCACATCAGAAAAGAAAAGAAATAATAGAATAATAAAAATATATTGTCTCTATTCCATAAGAATATTGAAATCAGTTTGGTAATGACATATAATGGAAGAAAGTTTGGATGCTTCCTTAAAAAAAATATTTGATTGTTAAGGAAGTGACCTTCAAAACGATTTAAGTTTAATATTAATCATATTTTTAAAGATTTTTATTATTTTTGGGGAGGAGGAAACAGCAGCACTACTTAGTCCCACCCGACATGGAGAAAGATCCGCCCACATCCGGCGAATGATCGGGTTATGTTTAGGATGGAAGCCTGGTGATTGGCTCGGAGCGCGACTGAGTTGAGGGGTAGACCAATCAGAGGCAGGATACGGGTGGCTCCGCTTCCACCTCGCTGGGAGTTATACAACGAGCAGCAGCAGCAGAGGCAGTGGACGTACACAGCCCATGGTGCGATCGGGTAAAACACGGTGACTCTCTGTTGTGTCTCTGGAGCTGCACACGTAAGTAAGTTATTAAACCTGATCTGAGTCCCATTCCTTTATTTACGGTGTCCTACAGTCTTACGCAGATAGCGTGGTTAGCACCCCGCCTGTGCTGTCGCGCAGATGAGTCGAGCCGAAAGCTAGCTAGCTGTCACTGTCGTATTTCAAACACGTATACATTCGCTCCGGTTCACGTGACTGTACTGTAAGGGAGGTAAACACTCACGGACGTGTAAGACGGTCCGTTTCTCCGTGGTCCTTCAAAACCGGTGTAGAACTCTGCCAAAGCAGCTAATGCTAACTTACGTCAAAATGACTGGCGGAAGAGAAACACAGTCTGGTTATGCAACAGTAGTTGGGTCAAAGTTGTTTCTGTAATAGTCTTATAACTGTTTAATACTTCACTTTTTAGGAATGCAATAATACAAAGTCAGTCTTACAATAAAGTATCAGGGACGATCTGGTCAACAGCTTCATGAACACGTCTGCAAGTCGTGACATTCGGATTTTAATATTCAGAGCTGCAGACACGTCATGGTCATTATCGGTACACTGACTCGTACTATACAGTTACTACGACATCGTTAGTGCTGCTGAACTCAGGATCTCGAAGTAAAACAGGCGCGAGTGTTGCTGTGGCCTTGTTATGTTACACAGTGATGTCAGTATCATAACTAGACTTTGCACTCTGCAGCACAGCGACATTAGCCTGTATTCCAAGATAACCTGCAAACTATGTGGACATTCAGGATGTCCAGAACCAAAGTCCACACAGGTAACGTCTCTCTCTCTCTCGAAGAAGAAGAAGAAGAAGAAGTAGGAGTAGTAGGACAACCAGATTTACGATTTGCTCATTTTTGACCAGGCTCAGCTTCTTTCGACACGCCGCTGCACATCTCGCCGTATAAAGTTTCGTCAGACTGCGAAAGGGATTTGGTTATGTAAGCTTTGAGAACTAGGGGGCCAAAAAGTTCACTGACCCTCTGCTCCACCTTTCTGTTACACTGTTACAGGCTAACCCATTTCCACACTGAACACGAAGGATTCAACCTTGTGATTAACCCTCATCTGTGATGAGAATCTACATAGATGTTTGGGTTTATTTTGGCGTTTAAAACAAGCTTGTGTTTCCTCTTTTAGATTCATACTGAGACATCGAGGAGGATGGCTGCGACTGCGAAGAATCCTTTTCAACATATTGTTGAGCCCCTGAATCCAGATGAGCCAAAGCAGCAGTTTTTCAATCTCTCCAAACTTGGAGACAGCAGATATGGTAACAATATTTAATCCTCTCGTCATTGGAATTGTATAGTTATAACAGCAGATATTTCTGAGGGGTTCACTGTCCCTCTGTTGCTCAGACCGTCTGCCGTTCTCCATCCGGGTACTCCTGGAGTCTGCTGTCCGCAACTGCGATGGGTTTCTGGTGAAGAGCTCAGATGTGGAAAGTATCCTCAACTGGAAGCAGACCCAGACTAAAACTGTGGAGGTTCCATTCAGACCGGCCCGTGTCATCCTCCAGGACTTCACGTATGTCCACGCTAGAGCATCTCAAGAGGATATTGAGATGTATTATGGGAAATGTAGGATCCAGTGTTCTTACAGAAGTCATGATAACACTGCCTCTGCTGCTTAAACTGAAACCAACAATGAGCTGATCTGAGTACCAAGTATGTGTATCTCAGGGCTATAGAGCTCTGTTGTTGTCCAAAAAACGATCACCCCTCTGTTGTACTGGGTGACATCTTACTCCATCACCATGAACACACACACTGTGGTTCATGGTGACAGAAGTACTCACTGCAACAAATGTGGATTAATCCACTGCTAAAAATAGTCCCCAATACAACACACAATTTTCCTCCTTTTTGAGTAATAGGAAAATTCAGTATTCAGCTTATTAACTTTTTTATTTTTTTATTAAGCTATTGTATGGGAGTTGGTTATTCAGACTCTGATCATCAGTAGGATCCAGTGAACTTGGGGCTTACACCCACAGACGAGGATATACTAAGGTTGTAATTGTACATCTTCACATGGTTTGTTGACGGGCAAAATATAGATTGTGTATGTTTCTTGTTACGTTATCCTTAGTTAACTGATGATGATTTATATCTGAATTATGAAAATGGAGACTGGACTCACTCTGACATGCTTTAATCCTCCTCCCAGTGGTGTTCCTGCTGTGGTGGACTTTGCTGCCATGCGTGATGCAGTGATGAAACTGGGTGGTGACCCAGAAAAGATTAATCCAGTTTGCCCCGCTGACCTCGTCATCGATCATTCCATTCAAGTGGACTTCAACAGGAAGTAAGGCCAGGATCCTCAGGCTCTTTCTGCCATGGCACCATTAGATCATAGAAGCTGTGTTATTCTGCAGGTAGCTACACCATGATCATCTCCTCTCTTTTTCTATCGTAGGTCTGATAGCCTTCAGAAAAACCAGGATTTGGAGTTTGAGCGCAACAGAGAAAGATTTCAGTTTCTAAAGGTAAAAAACGATAAACAAACTCCATAAACAAGGTCTTCATATTTAATACGTTTTAACTCTTGTGGCTTTTCCTTGAGCACCTAATCATTTTCCCTGCTCTTCCCAGTGGGGCTCTAAAGCTTTCAAGAACATGCGAATCATACCTCCTGGTTCAGGGATCGTTCACCAAGTCAACCTGGAGTATTTGGCCCGAGTGGTCTTTAAATACGATGGGTTCTTCTACCCCGACAGCCTGGTGGGCACAGACTCCCACACCACCATGATTGATGGCCTGGGTGTCCTCGGCTGGGGTGAGACAATCAGTGTCAGCAATGATTTGTCATGAACTGCTCTTTTATTGTCTTCTTCCCAACGTCATTCTCACCTGTGGGTGATATATAGAGTGTAACATGTGATGGTAAAGTTAGGGTTTTCCAGTCAATAAAAATTAGAAGGTATACTGTCTCAATATCCAGGGTTCCCGGTGTTTACACTTAATTGTAATGATCGACAGAGCTGGCATTACAATCTATACATAAGCAGATATAGGCGGTTGTTTTTAGTAAATATTAATGGGATTATTATATCACAAGACTTGAGAATTTAAATCTTTAACTCATTAAGACCCAAGGCTAAGAATAAGAACCACCACACAAAACCTGAGGGTTTTCTGAAGACCTGAGTGAATTCTGAATGTTACAAAAGCTTCCGTTTCTTTGTCTCTGAAGTTGATAGACATGAAACGCACAAAGAAATGTTTTGGCTTTCATTTTTTAAAAACCTATAAACACAACAAAAATGAGATCGCCCCGCGTCTTCCTTCTTGTTGACTGAGCCTTGGTCAGCAGGAACATTCTCTGGGTGTGAATAATCTTAATCTTCTAGCTACAGTTGTTTGCCTGACACAAATCCAAATATACCCTTTCTACAAAGTTGCACTCTCATTGTAATACCTGCTCTCATTTAATGATACAGTGCAATGGATAATCTGTTGGCTAATTAGTGTGACAGTCGCTAGAATTGCTGTGTGGTTATTACATCTTCATTTTCAAACCTTCAGGTGTGGGTGGAATTGAGGCGGAGGCTGTGATGCTGGGTCAGCCAATAAGCATGGTTCTGCCTGAAGTGGTGGGATACAAGTTGTATGGGACCCCAGAAAAACTCATCACCTCCACTGACATAGTCCTCACGGTTACAAAGGTAACTACAGTCAGTTTTCATGCAGCCCCTGATATGCAACATGTGTTGTCTCGCTGACGTCATAAACCTCCACACCCCTGTGCCCTCAGCACCTCCGCCATGTGGGAGTAGTGGGGAAGTTTGTGGAGTTCTTCGGCCCAGGTGTGGCTCAGCTGTCCATCGCTGACAGAGCCACCATCGCCAACATGTGTCCAGAGTACGGAGCCACAGCAGCGTTCTTCCCCGTGGACTGCGTCAGCATTCAGTACCTTGCACAGACAGGTGAGAATTAAAGTTGTCCTGAATACGTGGTTCGTTCAGGATCCTCTCAACCAGCCCAGTATTTGATGACAATAACATTTCTTCACACAGTGCTCCTCCTCTAGTCAATAATAAAATATTTTTTAAGACCCTTCTTTGGTTTATCACAGGTGATGATGTTCATTATTTTGTCTCTCGTCTTGATTCAGGGCGAGATTCCAAAAAGCTGGACTACATCACAAAGTACTTGAAGGCTGTGGGCATGTTCAGGGACTACACTGACGCCTCTCAGGATCCAGATTTCACTCAGGTCTGTGTCAAAGTCAGCTTTAATGTCAACAGGACATAGACAGCATTGAAATATTGTTATCTTCATAAAAGTTTTGAGAGGGGACTTGTTGTATTATTGCCTGCACGTATTTTAATCATCCAAACCTAGAGGATTATTGAATTCAGAGACGGTTGCAATGTTCCCCCATCTATAAAATTGAACAGAATTATATTATTCTTGAATCTTTAAGAAGAATAGCAGAAATTAAATGGTGTTAATCATATCACACACAGACCTGTTTGTTAATGAACCCAGGGTGGTGAACACTTGTTTGTACTGGGATGGGTCGGGCTTCGTTTCTGTGTAATACTGGTCTCAGTTCAGCACAAAGATCACAGATCTATAGATTAAATTGGGCCAAGAAATCTTCCCAATCACTAAACACTTGTCTCCTTCGAAGAGATAAATGAAAACTATTAATCACTCAGTTCTGTAACAGTTATTTTACCATAATTTGCTTTAAGTTGTTTTGTATCTTTTTCAATTTGGGGTCCTTTTGTCGCGCAAGAAACCTCAGAGAGAGGTTCGGCTCTGTGAGGGATCCCTCTCCAAGCACAGACAGAAGTGCAATAGATGCCTTGTGTAACTGAGAGCATCAGCAAAATAAAAGTATTTACAAAATTGGGAGAGAAGTGGCGTACGCACAAAATGGTCTGATGTGTATGCAGTAATGAATGAGGCCCCAGATCACTGGAGAGAGATGCCAATACCAGTTGTGAACGGGGTCTCTTTCTCTTTCAGGTGGTGGAGTTGGATCTCAGTACAGTGGTCCCATGCTGCAGTGGTCCCAAAAGACCCCAAGACAGAGTGGCTGTGTCTGACATGAAAAAAGACTTTGATTCGTGTCTGGGAGCAAAGGTAGATATAGCTGTACAGTTTAATGTTTACAGTACGTCAACACTT